TTGGACGTGCATTGGTAATGAGTAAATCTGTGTGTGCCGAATACAAGCTCCGCCTTACATACCTATCATTTTGCTGTGAGAACATTGTCATATTTTCTCTTCACATCCTTTTAGAATACAATACAGTGGCTGGGGAGATGGCTCAGTGGTTAAGAGCACTGGCTGCTCTTGGAAAGGACCTGCGTTTAGTTCCCATCACCCACAATCTATGGATTTTGTCTTGTTAAAGCGTTACATGAAACATCAAATCTCATCTCTGGAATCTGCCTTTTGCCAGCCTCCTCTCACCTCTCACTCTAAGCAGCTTCTTATCCTTGTGCCCATCCCCTATTACACAGCTGCGCTGCAGATTAGGAGTTGTATCCTCTTCGGTGTGTATAGACAGAGTAGGTGTGCAAAATGAGAAAATACTCTCGGCCTCAGGAGACAGTTACCATGGAGTAGAGTCCGTTGGACAGCCTTGCTGAGATGTGGCAGACCCAGGTCTCTGCTGCAGAGACCTATAGTGAGCAGTTTCTAGACATGCCATTCTACTTCTTGTTGGTCCACTAATTCTTAAGAGCTAAGACACCAATCTGTCATTGAGTTTTTTTTTTTCTCAGTCCAGCAAGCTGCCCGGTAGTTAGGGGAAGTTGCTCCTTGGTGCTAGAAATCATTAATCGGTACTCCTACTCTCCAGGGCTGGTGGGATTTCGTGGGAGCCTTCAGGGAGATTTAGAGGGTGGCTCCTGTGCCGCTAGCTACTGTCTGTCATACCCCAGAAATTGCCTCATTTCAGTGCTAATCAAAGGAGAAGATATTTCTGTCAGTTCTTTGGGATGAATGCTTGCCTCATGTTCTGGATGATTTATAACATCGCTCTCAGCAAACACTGATGGAGTGTGGTCAGCATTACAACATTACTGCCATGTACCACAGGCAAACACTCCTGAAGTAACTGTATATAGTAATCAACTGTTTATCAGGGTAGCTGAGCACTCGTCTTATCCCCCTTAACTCTGTGTAGATGCCTTTAGCTCCTTCCATTTTGTTTTCATTATGAAAAGCCCATTGGTACACCCTCGGGTGTGGGAAGTCCCTGTATTAAATATAGTCTCAGCAAGGACACATAACTTCACACACAGGTATAGCCACAGCATACAGTCCCAGGAAGAGAGGAAGGTGACCTCAATGAGGTGAAGTCAATGTCTTGAGACATATCTTCCATTCACACAGTTTGACTAGACACCATAATGAAACCTTTATCTCCATGTCATGTTCAGGATGGCATTATTAACACAAAAAAGGTGGGGAGGAACCCTCAGGTAACTTCTTCCTTGCTGGACCCTTTTTCCCTTCCTCTCTCTCCATTACATACTCCTAAATTCTCACACCCAAAGTAACCCCTTAAAAGTGTAGCTCTGATGATTACAGAAAGAAAACTTCCGGAAGGGAGTTTGACTTCCGGAAGATGACTTCATAGCTTGCATTCACTCTGAGAGAATTTGAGCTTTATTTGCTAAAGCCCTCTGACCTATGAAGATGTGAAGTTGTAGCTGACCTAATTCATGGCACAAAAATCCGCATAAACCCCCAGACACACAGACACACAGACAGACCTCTGGCCGTACTGGTCTGGCATTCTCCCCTCGTGGTCAATGGAGTTGACTACACACAATTGTGTCTTCACTAGTTTGTGCTGTTTCATTTCCCTGAGCAAATTCTTTCTCCATGAAATCAAGTCCTTTGCATGGCTACAGGATCTCTTTATCAGCACTAACTCATAGCCCAGGCTCAGTTACGATGTCTTCCCTGAGCCTCTCCAGGCTGCCTTGGTTGTGTCTTACTCGGTGTCTCTACAGCACTGTGTCTGGTTCTCACAGTGGCTTCCCACCTGTTATATGCCCGAGTCCCTGGCAGTGTGCAAAGAGACTCACTGCTGTCAACCAGAGCTCACCTTGTACATTTTCATCTACCATGGGGACACCAGGCTTCTCCTTCTTCCCTGCTCACCACCTGGCCACTCAGCCTAAGCCCCTCTAGCCGTCCTATTCCCTGATTGTGGACTGGACTTGTGGGGCTGTGCCCTGTACCCTAATTTTGTCTGCTCTAACCTTGTAGCCCACCCAAACCCACTGTGGGAGGCAGCTAGAAGAAATGAGGCCTGAGCAATCTGGCGGTATGGGTTTGTTTTAGTTTTGATTACATTTTCTTCATTTACTGAAGGAGTGCTTGCCATGCCATGCGTGCAAAGGTCAGCGGGTAACTTGGAGAAGCTGTTTCTCTCCTGCCATGAGGGTCCTGGGGATTGTGCTCGGGTCGTCAGGCTTGCTGGCAAGTACCTTAACCCAGGGAGCTGTGCTGCTGCCTGGGTATATTATTTTGAAACCAAGAACTACACTGCTCTTGTGACACCTCCATTTCAAAATGACACACTCCCAGCTTCAGAGTTTCAGTAAAGGTTATTTTGGCAATTGACTATGATGTCATGTCTCTACTTCTTCCTGGATATGCCTGTTTTTCTATTATCTCCCAAATTGTCGTGTTTAGGCATTTAGCATTCCATAATTCTTGGTCTATGATTAGAATCTAATAAATCTAATTTTATGAAATTTGGAGGTCAGGGAAAAACATGATGGCCTCACTTTGAGGTTTTAAAATTTCTTCCTGAAATAATTTTTTCTATCATTTGTGGTATTCTGTGTGGATTAAGTGCATTAATGATTAACTCCAAGTCGCCAATAATGCATCAGTTTCGCATTAAGGAAAGAAATAAAAGCACTTCCCCTTGGAGTCATTTAGCCAAGAGTGGGCACAGATTTGAATTATCTACTTCAGGCTCCCTGTGTCTTCTGTACCCTGTCATTCTGTTCCGTGAGTTCGAGTTTGTGCCTGCCTGAAAGCTGTCTTGTGAATTAGTCCTTGTGCCTTTACCTGTGACTGTCCCTGTGCGTCTGTCTTTTGTGTGACTGCATCTATGTGTGTTCATGTGTGCCTCTCTGTAAAAGTGTCATGTGATTGTCTATGCATGTCTGTTTCTGTGTGTTTATGCATTTCCATCCCTTAAGAGGAGAATTTCTTTCTCTCTCTTTTATTGAACATCATAGAAAGCAACACATGGGGAAGGAATGGGATAGTTAACAGACATCTTTAACAGTTCTATAGGGATTAAAATACTGACTCCAACTGACCCACAAATGACCCAGATGACAACCAGTATTAAATATGACATTGTCTATTAACCAATACCCAAGTGCTATGTTTAACGTTCTAGGAGATACTCATTGTTAGAAGATTGCTTTCCACCTCTGGATTTGCTGCTGTCAGCAAATGGGACAAATGCACTGATCCGGGTCAGGGCATAGAAGAGCATGCAATTTAAGATTACAGCGGGCATTAGCTTACACTGTAAAAGTTGATTACATGGAAAATCCAAGGCAAGTAAGGTTAGTGTTACATTGTCCTCTTGAAAGCAGGTTAAACAAACAGGCTGAGTACACAGCAGTATAGCAATCTTCAGTCTTCTATGGCTTCAAGATGTTCTTAATTCTATCTGTGAGGTCCAGTGAAAGTTCCAGTCCTGTAAGCAATATAAAAGATATTTTCATAGTTTTGTATTGCTACAGCATTCATTTTTATATTTTTTGATTATATTATTTATTTATTTACTATGTGTATAGGTGTATGTGTGTACAAATGTGTGTGGGGATCATGTGTGTACCATAGAGCATGTGTGTGGAGGTCAAAATACAACTTAGTAATAAGTTTTCTCCTTCTACCACGTGGGTTCCAGGATGGAGCTCAGATGGTGAGGTGTGTTGGTAAGTGCCCACCAAGCCATATCACTGACTCCCATTTGTGGTATTCTTTGTGGGTATCAATAAATTTTAATAATCTCAGAAATAATAATTTAAAAACATAAATGCATTTATATTCCCATGGTTAAATGACAGACATCATATAACTCTGAGGACATAAATTGTCACTTCTGATTCTCAAGGATCACAGCTTCAACCTACGTTCATCAGCTAGGGTCAGGAAAGAGGAGGTAGATAGGAACCCAGCCCAGCTGTGGGCTAAACAAAGCCACATTGTCAGGCAGATGCTGGCTTGCTTTGTGGGATGCCACTCATGACGCGCCTTGATGTACACACAGCCCACTTAGGCATTCAGTAACACACAATGCAGAATTGCTGAGATGGGAGATAAATTACTAAAATATCTGAGCAAATGGGGTCAAATAATGGTAAGAAGACTCTTTTCTGTTGTGTGCATTTTGTCTTTCAGATTTATCACAAGCTACACTTTCAGTGTGACAATCTTTTGATAGAGTTCACACGAGACAGGTTTCCTTGAGAGAAGAGGCAGAATAAAGCTCTTGGTGCCTTTGATGTCGTAAATGACTCTATTATTCGAGGTTTCAATTGAGAACCTCTGTGCCCAGGCCTGGCATGATTCAGTTGTTTGTCTAATTGAATCCTGTCTATAACAAAGCGCTTGGAAAGCAGAATTGCTGATAGAGGCCCTGGAAGCCTGGGAAACTTCAAAAGTGTCACTCCAGTCAGGTGTGACCCAGTAGGGGTGAAAGTGGGGCCGCCTGCTGCAAAACAGAAGGCAACGTGAGGAGGAGACAGAGGCCGGTGGCGTTTGGGTGGCATGTGGCATTTTAGGCTCTTAAATAGCTGAAGGTAGGGTCGGCGCCTTGGGGTGACCCTGTGCCCACAGCTGCTGTTCCAGCACGCTGAACTTTGCAGGGACCTGGCCTTGGCTTTTAGCACCGAGCACCGTGTAGTTCAAAGCAACGGCCCATTACCCCACGAGAAGTCATTTTCTAATTAAGCTGCGTCACCAGTGTGAATATGAAGTTTCTAAGAGGCTGAACATGTCTGCTCTCCCAGAAACTGTCGGAGCTTTTGCTACAGTTGAGGAATGACTTAATGGCAACAGGAAAGGATGGGCTTGTGCGTGAATTAGCTTCCACTTTTAAAGCACTGTTTGCCTTGTGTTTTAAAACATTTCAGGCACTTTTCATGTCTGTCTTCTAAGTACATGTGCCCGGGTGTCCCTGCGGTCATGAGTGCCCTGCTGGCGAACATCAATGCTTTCTACGCTCACACAACTGTCTCCACTAATGTGCAAGTTTCTGCCTCGGATCGCTTCGCCGCTACGAACTTTGGGGTGAGTGTAATTATGTTTGGAGCCCTAAGTTTTCAACTAGTCTCTGGTTGCTAGATTTTCAAGGGGCTTCGGACCCCAGACAGTCTGTTCATTCCCACCCTACCCCAGGTAAATTATATCTAGTATATAATGAGTCCCCATAACCTAACATGGTAAAGAAAACAAGTCTGATCTGGTACCCTAGGAAAAAAGGATGTGAATATTTAGCCAAAGAAGAAAACAAATCAAAAGAAAAATGGTTACACTGAGGATAGCGTTGGGGCTGTGGATGACAGGTTTGATAATGATAACACCATCAAGTCCCTTGTGCCGTCTGATCCTCAGTTTCTCAACCTGCTCAGAGTATGATGAGTCTTACCCTGACATTATTCCAAAATTTGAGGTAAGGATCAAATGAGATTTAAGAATATACAATATAATATGCAAAATATGAGGATTCTAGAATTATATGAGGTATGAGAGGTTTGTCCCTCCTGGCTTACTATAATATAAACAATACACTGTCATTGTTAGATAGATTGTAATGTTAGATAGATCAACTTTTGCAAGGACCAGGACTAAAGATCATTCTGGAGCTAGTTCAATAAAAATACTGTGATGGTCAAATTCCAGACCAGAGAAGACTTTTGTAATAAAGGCGTCACCTTGGAAACAGAACCTGTTGTCTTGGGACTTTGCCTATAATGTAAACCATGCTGTGTTATGAAATGGCTGTTTCTATTCTGCCTGTGTACACTGCGGAGAACAAGCCAGGCTTGCAGAACACTGCACCTTTCTGTCGCTTAGAAGATGCAGTTTCGTGATTAACATCTGCCATAAAAGCCACCTGGAGGAAAATTGGATGCCACGCTTTCTACTTCACATTGACCAGAGAGAAGAAAACACATTGACTTCGGGATATTCAGGAGCAATGTGCTTACAACAAACTTCATTTTGTAAATCAAATAACATCTTGTGGAATAGAAACAAAAAAAGTGAGACATTTAATCAAATCATAACTGGATTAATTGGAGATCAAGCATGTGGCTGTGTATTTTTCTCTCACTTTGGAGTAGAATCCTGTTTCATAAACCAAAGATATCAACTATACTATCTCCTGCCTCCACTTTGGAGCCCTGAGTTCTAATTCACCTGAGGACTAAAGTAGATATTCCGGGTACCATGATGGGTATACAGTCATTTCTTAAACCTTCTTTAAGGTATAACCAGATTTTTCAAATCCCCCCGCCCAAACACAGTGTATTTGAAAAAGCTTTCTCCAAGCTGGGCGTGGTGGTACACACTTTTCTTTCCTGCGCTCAGAAGGCAGAGACAGGCAGATCTCTGAGTTCAAGGCCAGTGTGTTCTATATAGAGACTTCCAAGACAGCCAGGATTATGTAGAGAAACTCTGTCTTGGAAAATAAAAAAGAGAAAGCCTTTCCTGAGTCTTACCCTCCCTAGGCACCTGCTCCACCAGTTATGCAAGAGTAGCCAATGCTGGTAATCACTGGGCAGTCTCTCCAGCCCCATCATTGTTTCCTCACGATTTACCATGTCGTTTGTACGTTTATTTACAAAACTTACATAACTTGACAGGATACTCTTAAAGAAGAATGTAAGTTCTTCAGCAGGAAATGCATTGTAAAATTAACATTTGTGGCAGACACCGTTAGCAGCACAAACTCCGGGAAAGGCAACTGAAGGTTTTCATTCTCTGCCTCTCACACCATGAAGAATTCTTCTATGGGTTCCGACTCTATGTTATTTCACCATTTCTTTGTGTGACAAAATTTGTGAAATATTTGTACAAGAAAGAAAAAAACACATTCAGTCTTTCACATCAGAAAAGATCATGATTTTTAAATTCTAATCTAGAATTCATCTTCACAATTCCTTCTTTTCAATTTAATTTTTTTATTCATCTATTAATTTACTTCCCAGCCTCAGCCTCCCCTCATTCTCCCCTCCCAAAGCTGTGCCCCCTCCCCTTGTATCAACCACTCCCAACCCCAATTTCCAGCTCTTCTGTCTCCATCCAGGAAAAGGAAGGTCTCCCATGACTGTCAATAAAATATGCATATTAAGTTGCAGTTAGACTAACCACCCCCCAATGTATTAAGGCTGGGCAAGGCAACCCACTATGGGAAGTAGAGTCCCAAAATCCAGTGAAAGAGTGAGAAACGGCTCCTGCTCCCACTGTTAGGAGTCCCACAAGGGGACCAAACTACACAACTGTAACATATATACAGAGTGCCTAGGTCAGTCCCATGCAGACTCCCTGGTTGTCGGTTCAGTCTCTGCGAGCCCCAATGAGCCCAGGTTAATTGATTATGTGAGCCTTCCCATGGTGTCCTTGACACCCCCCCCCCGCCCCCATCACCTACAAGCCTTTGTTCTCCTCCTCCGTGAGATTCCTGAACTCCTCCTAAGGTTTGACTGTGAGTTTCTGCATATGTCTCCATCCATTGCTGGATGGAGTTTCTGATGACAATTGGGCCAGGGACCACTCTGGTCACAGGAGATGGCCAGTTCAGGATACTTATCCACTATTATGAAGAATCTAAGCTGGGATCCTCTCTGAGGACTCCTGAGAGATTCCCCTGTGCAAGGCTTCCACCCAACACTGAAATGTCCCCCCAGCAGTCCCCCTCAGCACTCTTCCCCTCTGTTGCATCCCCCCAACCTTTCCCCCTCCCTTTCCTCAGTCCATTCACAAAATCTCTTCTATTTCCCCTTCTCAGGGAGATATGGTTGCCCACCACCACCATGAACCCTCCTTTTTATTTAGTCTCTCTGGGTCTGTAGCCTATAACATAGTTATTCTTTATTTTACAACATCCCATATTTGTCTTTCTCGGTCTGGGTTACCTCACTCAGATTTATTTTTTTCTAGTTCCATCTATTTGCCTTCAAATTTCCTAGTGTGCTTATTTTAAACAACTGGGTAATATTGTGTAAAATTTGCCATATTATCTTTATCCATTCCTCGGTAGAGGTACGGCTAGGTTGTTTCCAGGTTCTGACTATTACAAATAAAGCTACTATGAACACGGTTGAGTAAGTGTCCTTGTGGTATGATTGAGCATCCTTTGGATATATGCCCAAGAGTGGTATTTCTGGGTCTTGTAGTAGGTTGGTTCTGTTTTCTGAGGAACTGCCACACTGACTTCCAAAGTGATTGTATAAGTTTGCAGTTCTACCAGCAAAGGAGGAGTGTTCCCCTTGCTCTACATTCTCTCTGAGCTGTCATGTGTGTGTGTTTTTTTTTAAAATCTTAACCATTCTGGTAGGCGTAAGATGGAATTTCAAATCAGTAAGAAATAAAGACATCCCCCACTATATTTTTATGATTAACAGTCATACAAAATTATTAAGATCTCTTAAATATTCTATTTGAAATGCTTTCTTCTTACTGAGTTTTTAATTTTGATGAATCTGGATTGAGCTATTGCCAGCCCATGTCAGGATATTCTTTAACTTATTTCTGGCACTCTTTCACAAACCCGAGGTCACACAATTACTTCCACAGGTAGGATCCCTCTAAGAGGTGCTAAGGCAAGTGAAGGCCCTGAGACTCGAGCAGGGTCAGTTTCCATCTCAGTTCAACCACACTGTGACCAAGACAGTGAGATGGGAGTGGATAAGAAGCTGAGGCAGTGTGGAACCTGGTACCCACTCAAAACCGGATCTTTCCTTCCCACCCATTCCCAGGACCCTGGTGGGGTACTTTCTAAACATGAACTCATGAGGTAACCATTCCCTCTCCCTGAGTCTTCCCTCTGCTGGTGAACCTAGTTCAACCCACCTATTAGATTTGTATGGCTCATTAGTTAAAAATGATTTTTATGCATTTTAATGTTATTTAAAAACAAAAGAAGAGTATGATCTTGTGGTACATGAGAGTTACATTAAATTACAATTTTGCTCTTCATCCATAAAGTTTTATTGAAAAAAAAAATGGCCATGTCTAAAATACTGGTATCTCATTTAGCAAAGGCTGCCATGCCAGTGTCAGATTGGAGTAATGAAAGAATCCTCGAAGTCAAACACAATTACTCTCTAGGATGCTTCAGACAGCCTGCTGGCTACTGGCCTTGGTACTTTAACCACCTCAGTAAAGCTGGAGTTTTGATAAATAATACTACCAAGTATCATTATGACGATATGCCTACCAGACAAGTATGGCCCTTACCTACTACAAAGAGATGACTAATCGTGGCTAATGTGGTGCCACGACCCTTGGGAGAAACATGTTTTAATCCCCCTGCCTCTTATTTACTCCTCAGATCATGCCATGCAGACAGTCAGCCCCCTCAGCTGTCTCAAAGGCGATCTCACCCTAGTTAACCAGAAATACGGTAAACAAAATTACATCTCAAGCTGTCCCTGCTGTTCAAAGAATCTCTTTGAAAATTCAATCAACAGAACGCTTTTACTTTTGCTTCATCAGATGTGATTTGGGAGTCGGTGACTACAAGCCCAGCAGATTTCTCTCTCCAATCTTCTTTCTTCCTTGCATGTAAAATTTTCAGCAGAGCCCTGGAAACCAGGGTGGGGAGAAGCAATCTGAGAGCTGCTTTAGTCGGAATTCTGAGCATCCCCACAAGACAGAAGCTCACAGACACAAGTCCAGCTAAACAGACTCTGCCATACATAACCTAAGACTAGGGGTAAGAAACACTGGGGTAGTGTAGCCCAGGGCTGTGGTTTTTGAAACTATAGATAGGGGCTGAAGAGATGGCTCAGTGCTTGCCTTGAAACACAAGGACCTGAGTTTGATCCTAGAACCTATATAAGATGCCAAGTGTGATGGCACATGCCTGTAATCCCAGTGTGATGCTTTGAATGAGAATGGCCCACATGGTCTCATGTATTTGAATGCTTGGGTCTCCAGTTGGTGGAACTCTTCAGAAAGAACTAGGAGGTGTGGTCTTTTAGAGGAGGCATGTCACTGGAGACAGGCTTGGAAGTTTCAAAAACCCATGCCATTCCCAGTAAGCTCGCTCACTTTCTCTCTCTCTCTCTCTCTCTCTCTCTCTCTCTCTCTCTCTCTCTCCCTCCCTCCCT